CGGCGCCCCGGTGTACCTGGCGGCCGTGCTGGAGTACCTGACGGCCGAGATCCTGGAGCTGGCGGGCAACGCGGCCCGCGACAACAAGAAGACGCGCATCATCCCCCGCCACCTGCAGCTCGCCATCCGCAACGACGAGGAGCTCAACAAGCTGCTGGGCAAGGTGACGATCGCGCAGGGTGGGGTGCTGCCCAACATCCAGGCCGTGCTGCTGCCCAAGAAGACCGAGAGTCATAAAGCTAAAAGCAAATAAACTTGGAAAGCAGAGCTATTTAGACTTTGCCCAACATAACTTTATAAACCAAAGGCTCTTTTCAGAGCCACCCACACAATCAGAAAAGAGTTGTGTTGCTTTCTTTACAAAGCTGCTCTGGTGTTAAGTCTTACTTTGTTTTGCTAACACGAACTTAAGTGTCAAGTGTCTTAAAACTAGTTTCCTGATGAAGAGAAATGATGCATTATTTTTTTGACTGGTTTTTTATAATAAAAGAGTGCAATCATGTTTAGTGATTTATTTACATGTGTGCTTAACATTCAGTACCACGCTTGATATTGATCCTGCCTAGCTTGGATTCACAGACTTCCTGGTGTAAAATATGGGGGAGTGGCTAAAAGACGGGAGGGAGTGGAAAGAGCTATGCAGCATAAAAACAAGGAGGAGACCATCTCAAACCTATAAAATTCAGATTGAAGAAAGACTTCCTTTCTAGGCCTCTGTTCTCAATTAACTTTAGAAATAAGATGCTTTGGGAGCACAACTTTAAATCTCTTTATATTTGTTGTTAGAAATGATGAATAAAACTGTCTAGCTGTTTTCTCTTGCTAGGATATTCCCAGAGGTTGCACCTGATGATGGTCTGTAGCACACTGCACTGAGGTCATAGCTCCTCTCTGTGCAGAACCTCTGCTCTCTCTATTCCCTGAGGAAGAAGGAGGAATTCTCTGGGCTTGGAGGAAGACAGTACCCACCCTGTGCTTCTTGCCACCCCCAAGCCGTACAAGAATATTTTTAGGCAGGACTGTGCCATAGCCAAAGTGGAGCATAAGGTATTATTTCTGGAAAGAAACAAAGGAAGAGAGCTTGCTTGAGCACCAGATTACTCTGACACAGCGATAGTGTGTGTGCCTAAGGGGTGTTTCTGGTAAGTGCACACATTTAGGGTTGCAATGCTTTCGTTATGCTGTTTTAATGATCCTCATTAGCTGCAGGTACATATTTCCTGGCCCTTATACTAATCTACTTGTATAACTGTAATGGTAGTTAAAACTATATTTCAACATGCGCAAGTCTTCAAGATTTAGTTTCCAGAAGAGATTCTATATATATTGCAGTCATAGAGCAGTTTGGGCTGGAAAAAAAACCATAAAAGATTATTTACTCCAACACCCCTGATATGGACAGGGACACCTTCCACCAGCCCAGGTTGCTCAAAGCTCCAGCCAGCCTGGCTTTAAACACTTCCAGGGATAGGGCATCCCATATTTTCTCTGTATGACCTGGTCCAGTGGGCCACAACCCTCATTGCAAAAAGAATTCTTACCTATGCCCAATTTAAATTTAAAAACATCCCTACAGGTCTGAAAAAAAAAAGCCTCTGTCTTTCTGTATCTCATTAGAGATGTCAAAGAGACATCTGTCATCAAAAGTCACTCATTAAAAGCAGCCTTTTAGTGGCTGCTCTAAGTTCTTCCCAGAACCTGCTTTTCCTCTGGCTGAAGCCTGGCTTTCTCAGCCTGTCTCCATGGAAAATGTATTACAGCCCTCTGATCATTTTTGTGGCCCTTCTCTGGACCTCTACTAACAGATTCATGTGCCAAAAGACCCCAGAGCTGGACGCAGCACTCCAGGCAGGGTCTCACAAGAACTGAGCAGAAAGGGAGAATCACCTCCCTCAGCCTGCAGTCCAGGCTGATCTTGAGGCAGCTCAGGACACAATGGGCTTTCAAGCCACAACCATGGACCTCTGGATTAACACACTGGAATTCCAGAGAAAGGCCATGGAGTGGGGGTACCTGTATCCAGGAGTTGGATTTCTCTGTGAACAAACTCCTCTATGTGGAAATCAGGCTTGGTACCATGGGAGAGGAACCCATCCTTCTCCGAGTGTGGAGCTAAGTCCAGCATTTGTCTCCAAATTCTTCATGTCATCTGACCCCAGAAATGCATGATTGTCTTCAGGATTTCATTTTGAACACTGCTGATTTTGCTCACTGTTCTGCTCACCTCAATAACTGAAATTTCACCCTCTGTGATACTTAGGTCCACTCCTTAGCATTCCCTAGTTTTGTTCTTAGCCACTAGTGGTTTCACCAGTTGTGAACCCTGTGCTGCCATCACACTGATGAGGCCTCAAAAGTCCTGTAAGTCAGATGGATTGTATGATAAGAGTGCTGGGAAATTTACTGGTATTAAAGACTTGCAGCTTTCAAGCAAATTCCACTGGATGAAGGAATGTAGCAAAGCAAGTTTAAATAAAAGAGTTTCATTTGCATATACAACAAACAGTAGGAAAGAGGAAATCCATACCATATGGTGCCTTAGCTGTGTCATTGGGTTCCAATGCACCTTCACATTCTAAAGAACATGTGTTGAAAATAACCCACCTTTAACCAAGCTTCCTCAGATGTTACAGATCACAGTTATATTTAGGAATAGCTTAGTGATGTCAGTCTATATGTCAAAAGTCTTAGATTTGCGTAGTTAAAAATGTGAAAGGCTTTTCTACCCCTTTTCATCTATATTGCTTTCAATGCTGGGAATAATGTATTTTGTTGACAGTATCTTACATTAGTTTGCGTATTATTATCATCCATATGAAAGTTGCAGGAGATAAATTTAAACTGCTACATAAGCTCTCAAGAAAATTATGAGCAGCTTTGCAGCTGGATATAATACACTGATGCAATGATTTCTTTATATTTTTTACTAGTTATGTACTCTCTTGTGCAGTCCTGGTGAGATGTTGCCTTATTGCAATGAACAAATGCAATTTCCTCATTACAGCTGAATGAGGTACTAGGACAAGTGTACTAATTAATGCACACTTGAAAAGGTACAGTTTTTTGTGGTTTTTTTTTAATGGAGCAGAGTTTTGGAAAGGTTTCCTTTCTCATTTAACCCCTAGTGCTATATGTCCATACTCGTGAGGTAAATGCAGTACATATAATCCGAGGACTGGATCCTAACTTTGATCCAAATAGTAATATTGCCTCCAATCACCAGTAGAAGGAAGGTCATTAGGGATTATATTCAGCAGCAAAACATTCTTTCCTCTTTAATTGTTTTTTCCCTGAGAAAACCCTCTGATCCATGAGAGAACTGACTGCCACTAAGAGAAATACTGGGGAAACATGTCTGTGGACACTTGTACCAACCCATAGACAAAGCAGCCTTCTAGAAAGCTTGATGTTAAATCATATAAAATGTGCTCCACACATTGGAGAAAGGGGACTGCAGGTATTTTACTTAATCTAAGCTACTGGTCTTAGCCTCTGAATCATCCATTTCTGCCAGAACAGTTTGGAAGATGAGTTTCAAAGTCGTCCAGTGCTTATACTGCTAGAAGGACATGCAATACTGGGATACTCACTCTGCATTTAGGAAGACTTATGAAGAAATTATTATTTTCATGTACTAAAAGATTCTGTGTAACTCCTTTAGGCTTTTACTATTCAAAATAGTAAAATAACTGCCTCAGGAAACATAGCTAGACACAGATCTTCAAGTATAAACAAAAAGCAGACTTTGTGGAGCCAAATGGTAAAGTAAGACACCAGCCTGGCAGGTCCACTACGGACAAATCTCCTAGTTAGTTTGTAAATAGTCTTTGTTCATTCTGTTCAGTCAAAAAGCAAATACAGCCTAAATTAAAAGTACCTTTGCCTGCTCATATTGTATTTCTGAGTGGCAATTGTTCAATCTGTTTAAAACTGTGGTTCGAATGAAAATGGAATTCACGGTGGTAATTATAATCATAAAAAGATTAGTACATTTTGGACGCTTGTAACTTAACACATTACTAAATCAATTTCCCTTAATTTAGGGAATATATTCTGCCAAGAAATATTCTGGAGATGTTGCCTGTGTTCTTTAAACTATATTCAGGAATAAAATCAATATACAACTGTACAAATTTTAAAATGTACAGATTTTTTAAAGGTGGATAAGTTTGAAGGGCACCAAATGCTAATAACATAATAATTGGCAAGCACCATAGTAATATCGCTTCCATTCTGACTGTGTAAGTAATATTTAAAATCTTGACAGATTTAATTTAGAAATTCAGTCTCAAAATTCATTCTGTATTTATTTATTCACCTTACAAATGCAGACCAACATAATGTAAGCAGCATGTTTTCAATGTTTGTTTGCAAACCTGTGAAACACACGGCAAATTTTCTAGAAACTTCATTTGAAGAAAAATGTTTCGTTATGGTTCATGTTCCAGGTATTATACAGACATTTACTGGTAATATCTGTAGTGATTTTTTTCACTTATTCGATCGCGATGTGCGCCAGCAGACACTTGGCAGCTGCCGCGATCAAGCCAGACACCCTGCGGCCAGCGCTGCGCCGACACCGCTCCGAGGAGCTCGGGCGGGCTGAAAAGATGGGCTAAAGGTCCGAAACAATAGATCCGCATTGCCTTGGGGAGCCTTAGGTCTAAACGGTTCCAACCGGAGCCCATCGGCGACAGTTTCACCGG